TGTCCTTTTCTCCTTTCTTGTCTCCAAGATTTAGAAGATCTCGAGATTGCTGGTGAAGGTGCTCAGTATTGGCTCTGTTTCTAATACTGATTCTTTATCACTACCTAAACTCTAGGATGAGCTACCTACATAAACAAATGTACCACCACTGAAACTGGTTTGAATATAAAACTGTGATATTGGCACTGAATAACCAACTGAATAATGGAGGCGAGTAGCCCGACATTCCTCCTAGCTCGTAAAAATTTCCAGCCACCCCCTGGTTTGTCCCAGACACCAGTTGTTCTTATGGCCAAGTTCAGCACCCAGCACACGAACTTCCTGCTGTTTTATTCCCACTCCAACCTTAGTTCTTTTGGCAAAGTTGGAGATGCTACTTATTTCAGTACCCAGTATAGACAACTAGAGATCACTGAAGGCATGTTCTCATTTTTTCTGAGGAATGTATGTACTTAAAATCAGTGGACCAAATCCTCAGGGAATGGGTTTGATGTCTTAGTTCCCTTTTCCAGTAATCTCCTTTAAAAGCTATAGATAGAAACTTAATGCTGTTTCAGAATGGCAAGGAAAACCTTTTGTGAACTTACTTAGTAAATGTCTTCAAGCTGTATTTTATCTCACTTAGACATGATTGAGGCCCTGTTGGTCCAGCTACAAACTGCATTCCTGAATTTTGAAAGAATGGCTCTATGCAATTTCAAGGCAGGGAGAAACGCTTTTAATAACCTTTTGAGTTGAGAGTGGTATTGTATTACCTGAGAACTGAAAGTGAAATACTTTTGCAGGAGGCAGGGAAAAAATCATGCTGACAACAAGAGGGTTAACAGCCTAGACTCAGTAGTTCATAAGACTTAGCAATATTTTCAAGGAAAGGCTCACTAAAAACATGAAGGTAAATGTAAAATGCGATAAAATGCAAAACAGACTTAACAACAGATGACCTCTGAGTATCTTGAATAATAACTGATGTTATGGATAAAGGAAATGAGGTGGTTATAACCTATTTAGACTTCATTAAGCATTTGATATAGAAACATATAGGAAATAATTGCTTATCAGTTAGGGATCAGTATGAAGTGGAAAAAGAACTGGATAAGAAGAGATGGAATGGCTGATGTTCAAAAGCTGTGTCTATATTAGCAGGCAGTGCAGCACTACAGGAAGAAATACACAAAGGACTTGGTGCTCAGGACTCAGTATCCACACTGTAGGTGGAGGGTGGCTTCTGACCAGTTCTTGTCAGGTCCCATGGACTGAACTCTGAGTAGTATCTGGAGCATAGCAGGGGCACTGCTGGAGAGCATTTCTTGTTTGGTTCCATGGGAAAGGAACCCAAACTGGGTGCACTACTTTGTAGAGCAAACCAAAGTGTGAAACAGTGATAATGGTCATTGCCAAGGGCACCACAAGGGCACAGCCTCGATGGCTGGAACAACGGAAGCAGAAGAAAATTGGAGCATGAAATGAAAAGCTCAAAATTTGAACTGCATTGCCTGGTTTTGATGCTGTGGGGTGGCAACTGAGCAGCAAAGTTGTAGCAGTGGTACTGACATACACATGACTGTGCACTGGGGCCGTAGTTGGTCTTACCTGCTGCAAGGCAGATTCTTGAAGAAACTAGACAGTGTTAAAATTTGTACTGTTTTCAACCACTGAAAAAGGCAACTGTTGGCCAAAATTGTCTAGGTTAATGAAAGCTATAAAATGTATGTGCTTACAGAAGACCTTCTCTCCTGTTTTTTTTTTTTTCTTACCATCTCATATGACTGATGGGCAAATATTTAACAAGCAGTGTCTACTCCACAAATGTACAGGTATTAATAACACATGAAGGTATTTTAGAACAACGAATTTCCTGTAAGTATATGGGAGATAAAATGGCAAAATCTTGAAGTCCTTATGTAGGATTTCTTTACTTCTTTAATGGTTCACTCTGTGGCTGACATCTACATGGATAATATTTCATTTTAGATTTGACCAATATGCAAAGGTGCAGCCAGCCCCATCCAAGGGTAAAATACTTTCATATCAAAGCTCGTTTGTGATGGATCAGTGACTCAAGAAGCAAAGAACCCAGCTTCCTACCTCCCTGAAGCACCCTGTGCAATACCACTTATCACATGCCATGAATCCATGTAGCACTGTGGCAGTCCAGCAGGCTCCATGCCTCAGGCATCCTCTTCTTCACAGGCAACATGGATCTAATAGAGAGATGAAACAAGCACTAACACAATCACTTATTAGTAGTCAACAAATGCACAGGTTGCACCCCTGATGGAGTGCCTGTACCACGAACAGGGACTTCTAAAGATAAGATGATTGGAGCTGGATTTTCTTCCTTGCCTGATTCCCATTTAAAAGGGTGATGTCAGCTCATCCTTTTTGCAAACATCCAGCACTTGAAACCAGCTCTCTGATGGACAGAAAAGTTGCTGCACAGGAAGCTGGGCCATTTTGAGCCTGACCACATGTAAAGTATTACTAGAAGAGGTTAGGGGCAGGGAAGTCTATATTTTTTCCTGCCTCCCAGTCATCAGACTCAGCTCTCCAGGTGACAGACAACAAACACACCAGTAACAAATCAAAGAACTTTCCAAATGGACAATTTTGGCAGAGAAACTCCCCCAGAGTTTTTTGGTTGGTTTTGTTTATTTTATTATTTTGTTTTGTTTATTTGGGGGTTTTGTGGGTGGTGATGTGATGGTGGGTTTTTTTTTGCGTTGGGCAGTTCCAGCCCTATGTGGAGTTCGATGAAACGGCTTCAGGTGCTTCAGCTACCAAAGACCATTCTATGTGCAATTATACATACCAAACTGATGCAAAGGAAATGAAGAGACCGCAGTTAATTAGCAGATCAATTCTCACACAGCTCTCAGGCATTGCCCTGAATTGTGGATTTACCTGCTGTCATTTACGGGACAGGTCCCTTACCTGCTGTTTCTGGCTTCTTCTAAAACAGATGAGAAAAAGAGTGATTCTGTAAAGGCTTCTGGAAGCCCTAACAGCACTTGTCTGAAGCTGACTCACATTTTAGAGGTGATATTTATTTATCTGAGCCAGCATCTGCCTTTCTTTTCTATCACAGTGACGCTGATAAAAAGCTACATGGAGTTCACATCAGTTCTGAGCCAGCTGTTCTAGCAAGAATATTTTTGCATTAATTAGAAAACAATCTTTTTCCTTCATAAAACCATTGGTCACTCAGGCCAGCTAACTGAAGATAACCATGAATCTCAGTGTTAAAGGTGGATCCCTACTCAGTTTGTAAATGGGAAAGGGTGACAAAGTTTATAGAACATGTAAAAAAAGGCCAAATGATGAAAATCTGTAGACTGAAAGAAAATATCCATTCATTCACTAATGCTGCTAGTTATTTTCTAAAATTTATGAAATACTAAACCAGGTTTTTGTATGAAGAGTATTTTGTTAAAAAATAAAAGAGAAATGGAGACCAAGCACTGTTAATTTAAATTTGTTTTAATACATTTTTAAGGAGAAAATAAACAGGTGTGGATCAAAAATCATCTGAAAAAAATCTGCATAAAGTGTAAGTATAGATTGCACAGTTACTATGGAAATGCTTAATTTCCTTTCTTTTTATAAAGTGCATTATGCCAGAACTGTAAGACCATATATAGCCAAATTAAAAAATTACAAAATCTTCAAAATCCTATCCTGCATGTGTTAGGAAGTGTACACCTGACTAGAAGGCCATATTGTAAGGGAAAGTGTGAGAAAATATGTCAAACACATTATTGTGCAGGTGTGGATCAGTAATTGCTACTTTTAAAAAACTATAACCTTTATCACAAATTATGGCATTTTGGTAAACGTTTACCCTTATTCTTCCATCCAGATACTGAACAGGATGATGCATCAACCAGTTTTAGCCATTATTATTGCATTTGGCTGGGGAGAAAGAAGTAGTTAAATTCAACACAGTGATTGTTATGAAATGAAATTCCAAACAGTACAAAATAATATACATGGGAAACAGCCAAAATAAAGGGAAATCTACATTAAGATGTTCTTATTAAGCATTGTGTCACTCAGTAGACTAAAGAGCTTTTAGATAAAAGCCTGAACTTATTCATATTTAACTCAATGACAACACATATGAAATTTAATAGGAGTAGAACTTTCATTTAAAATATCCATGCTATGAAATGAAATGTATATTATTTTTACATTAACAGAGTAATGGGATAATTGCCTATTACATCATGCCCACTGACAACCTCACTGGGTTTTTGATGAATCCTTGAAAGCAAAGACAGGCCATGTGGATCTAAGACATACTTAATGGAAAATGGAAAATAAAAAGATTAGGTGAACGGGAGAAAGTAATCCTGTGAAAATTAAACTATAAAACCTATTATCTTCAATATGCCAAATACTCAGTTTAGAGTTGATCATTTAATCCAGTTATTCAGCACATGTAGTGGCTTCTTAGTCATTGTGGACTTTGCCTATAAATCAACCAAAGCTTAAATACAGCGGAAACCTTCCAGCACAAATGCACTGATGAAGATGGGGCCAAGAAAAGGAACAGCTCTAGATCATTCAGAAGGCAAATGTCACAAGGTTAAGCCATGTGAAAACAAAACTTAATTACTATACCTCCAAGCATCTTTATGCTTAAATGACCTCATATAAATGAGGTACACTTCACAGTGCTTGTAATAATTAGCACTTACCAAGCACCTTTCAGAAGTGCTTTGCAAACATTAAATAAGGTCAGAAATCTCATTGCTCTTTCATTAGAATACCCATAAATATGATGGGGAGAGCTTCCTCATCAATTCAGAGGAAGAACTTCAGGGCTCAACCCAGGGACCTCCAAAAGGCAGTGAGGATGTTTTTCTAATTGCCATTTTACAGATTGCAAAACCAGCAGCAGTGAGATCAAACAATTTGTCAAGGGTGATCAAGGAAGCTGAAACTGAATTAAAGATTCACAGTTTTGGGCTCTGGTTTTGGTTCTTTGTTTGGTTGGTTTATGTTGGAGAAAAAGGGCCAGAGTCCGTGATGAACTGGGGCACGAAGAGACTGCACCGCAGCTGGAGGGTGTCAGAGTTCTGCCTTACAAGCAGCAATACAACCATACACAGTTACATTTAGTGCTTTGTACTGGTACTTTTATAAGTCCTGCTTGACACAAATGGCTTTGAACATTATCTGCTATTCAATATTGAGTGAGAAATGACATATGGGATGAGTAGGACACAAGATTCTCTGGACAGGTTTTCCTTTTCCCCCATCTGGAATGCCAAGAGTGTCATCGTTTGCACCCCTGGAGTTACCATCTCAGAAAAGGGATATTTTCACACACTGCATAATGGCATTACTGAGGTTGTGATGCCATTTCCACAGCCCTTGGAAATGATACAAAAATATTGTCATAGCTCTCTGACGCATATATAGAAACGGAACATTTACGTGGAAAATTTCACAGATAAGGAATAACCCCCTCTCTAGTGTATTCTTTTTCCTCTACAAGAGGAGTTTTTTGAGAGCTCTTGATGCATAACCATTATAAATTAGAAGATCCACAAAGAAATCCAAGTGTATTCTTGAAGATTCTGGGATCTCTCCATGGTTTCTACATGTCCCAACCCTTGCTGTCACATGTCATCCCCGTCTATAAATAGTCATTACATTTTGCTGAGGAAGGTCAAAATGAGTGAGGGGTGTAAATACTGCAGCAGTCATCATTGAGTCATGCCTTGATTTATTCTTGGAAACCCAGGAGCTGTGGAAGTGAGTGCCTTACAGAACTGCAAGTCACAAGTTCCTCAACAGAGTACTACAGTAAAACTCTGGAAACTACAGTCACAGCACTAGCAGGAAGAAATGTCTCAGGTTCATGGAGAAAACGCAGTGTGCTGTCTCAGCTCCACTCTCCCTGTGTGTTTTGTAACTTGAGGACTCGCTTCCTTCTACCTTCACTCACTCCTTTCCCTACTGCTTAAAATAAAGGCTGCACACCTGACAGTCTCCAGGCTGTTAGTACACAGGATAGTTCAAAGCATTATTAGACAGGTCAGCTTTCTCCAGTCTGGCCCCGCTACAGATGTTATCTCAGTTCCTACAATAGGCTTTATAAGAAATATATTTTAGCTGCTTTCCATTCATTTCAGTAGGCTATTAAAAGTAATTATACAAAAATTATAGATAATTGTGTTTGCTTTCCTTTGTGCAGTCAACAATACCTACCTAACTTTGCTGTATTTTAGAAACTGAAAATCTTTATAATTCAACCAATTTCAGTGCATGGTACCTGTCTTAGTACTGCCAACCCAGATATACAGATGTTTTAACATTTGGAGTTGAAGAACAAATCCAAGTTTCACAATTCTAAAGTTACCCAGTAGCTACTGGAAAAGGCTTAATACTGGTTTCAGCAAGAAGTAACTCTATATAGGTGTAAAGTACTTCCAAATAGTAACAAGGATCAAATAAAAAAAAATTTCCTTATTTTGTTAGGAATACTTTTTGGACTTTTTTAAAAGATGGCCAACAAGGAAATTTTACACTGAATTTACTGAGAACTTAAAGATAAATAAAATGTTACAATACAGAATATATATTGTGTTTCTATTCAATTCCTAGAAGAATATGTTTGTTTTAAATAGCATTTCCATTTAAAGAGGGAAGCAGTAAGGGACTGATGAACGCCTCGTTGTGCTTCTCATCACTGGAGTTCTTCATTTGTTTAGAACAGCTGGATCATCGACTCTCTTGATTTCCCAACTCCAACCCATTTAACTAGGGAAGAAAACACATCTGTTAGAACAATTACCAAGAGTAAATATTGCAATCAATGAACTGGAATAATTTTCACCTTTCATCATGCTTCACTACAAACTGCACAAATTTAGGAAGGAAGTTTTGTTGTCAAAAATCCCTTTACTCCAGCTGCATTACCAGACTAGAAAGTGCAGGATGCTGAAGGTTGAAAGCATGAAATAATTATATCATAAACACAAAGCATTGCAGGTAGAGGGCCTAATAGAAGGTCAGGCACATTTGTTGCAGATTTAACTGTCCTTGTCTTGAGTGACAGGATGTTTAGCTACATCCCTGCAGAGAGGAAGCAAGAGTTCTGCCAGACTCTGAAGTTTTTGTGATGTGGAGCAGGAGGTAGTGATACCCATGTGCTATAATATTGATAAATATGAGGCTGCAATTATAAACGTTATCCAGTGTGAGCAGTAAATTCCATACTGTGACGGTTCCACTACAGTTTTACTGCCCATAGTTACTAAAGAATTGACTGTAGGTAAGTCTCCTTTATCAAACCCACCAAGGCAGCCTGCTTTCACACAGAGAACCAGAGAAATAAAGTAAGGGGAGCTTTATTTACATATCCCTTCACCCACATCTGTGTCCTTGACCACACACAGAGTTTCAAGCTCTGCTATCAGATGCTTCCTGATCCATGAACAATACTGGAATCGCCGCAGTTGTAACCAGCCCGTGCTGCTCTGAGGCGACCTTTGAGGTGCTTTATGGAAAACAAAAGCACACCTACCACCTTTCCAAGCTTGCTGTTGTGGAAATTCCCCTGCAAACTCCACCATTTATGCCACACCTAGCTCTTGGCACCTCTGGAGATCTAGTAGAAATGGCTTGACCTTTGAAGATTGATGTGTTCAGATTCTCAATTTTTCCAAAGTGGCAGAACCGGGCTAAACAGTCTCATCTCTGTTATGCAATACCTCTCCTTATATGAGTAAGAATGGAAAAAAAGTTCTCTGTTCAGAGAGGGATGCAGTGCAGGACGCAGAGGGAAAGGAAGAGATGAGGATGTTAGCCCAAGCACACACTGAAGCATGGTGCACAGACCCCAAAGTTTTCACTGACAGAAGGTGGCAGTTTGCCAAGAACAACACACATTTATCTTTCCCCTGGTTAAATCCTTGCCAGCAGCAGCTTGGGGCTCTCTGCAGCACTGCAGACCTGCCTGCTGAACACCCTTTGCTGCTTCCTGGCGAGCTGTCTTTTACCACCATCAGCCCATCCACTGGTACTTCTGTTGCCTCCTGCCCAAACCGAGCGACTTCCGACTAACAGACTGAGCAGTTCCATGGAGCTGTGCCTGCCTCCTGTGGCATCCTCATATGGACCCCTGCAGAAAGGTTTACCTGGCACGCCAACATGGTTTTCCACACAACGGATGTAATTCTGGGCCTTGGGTGGGAGGTCCTCCCATTTTCGTGCTCCAGTTGTGTCTGTCTTCCACCCAGGCATTGTTTCATATTCTACTTCCACTTTCTGTAGTATCTCCTGATTGGCTGTGGGAGAGCAATTTTTGTCACAGTTGATTTTAGCTGCTCCACCTTAACAGAACATACCTATGGTTCTTGACTAAAAAAGTCTTTCAACAACATTTAAAATCTGATATACGAAGAAACAGTATTTTTACTGTTTTTTCACTAATTCACTCATTCTTAATTTAGATTTATTTACAACATTTAGGAAGATTAGTCTGATTTAAGAAGATCCAGAAATCCAGCTTCCTCTTCTAAAAACTGTAGGATGCACTCTATTCTGTCAACATAGAGTCAACAAAAACACTACAGTTTTATTTTTGAGGAAATAAGATTTTTTGAGGTTTACAGTAGTTCCACTTTTTGGTTTAGACTAGCACATAATAAAACAGTAGACAAGGCACTACTGTCTCAAAGGTTTTTATCTTTATGGAATAGGGTTAAGTCAGGCTTGCGAAAAACTCAGATGTTTGCAAGCTTTTCCCCCCTGGAATTTTCACTGTGTCCACAGCAAGAAAGTACAAGCAGTGGTGGAAAAGCTGGCTGCTGCCAGTCCACCCCAAGCCTCCAGAATCCCCCATCTCAACAGAACCAGCCCCTCATCTTGGCACAGACTGTCACAGGGATCTTGAAAACATAATTAATGTAAAAAAAATTACATATTATTACATCTTAAAAGTTTTAACATGAATCGTTATCAAGGGGCAATATATACTTTTACTAACCACAGTGTTGTTGCTGTTAATTCCAGAAACAGCTCTATTCTGCTTGTATCCATCTCATATTTGCACAGCTTAAGCACTGCTTTTATTATAACTTTACTTCACTAAAGGCTATTGCCAATGATACGGAGTCACTGACTCGAGTCTTGCTGACTTTCAGATCCCTGGTGTTGCCAGCAAAAAATCTAATGGGACGAGACATAGAGGCCCTAACACAAGATTTTATTTGCTCTGAAGATCTTGCCATTGTACACAGACTCAAGGTAAATGGAAAATGTCAGTGTACTGGTACAGCTGCCTTTACACAGATACTGCAGCTCCACAAATTGCTACAGAAGGTCCAGCGAACAAGAAATCAAGCCTGATTTTAAAAAGCAAACAGTCTTTCCCAACAGGGGTGACTTAACTGGCAGAAAAGATAAAAATGAACATAGATGTTTAACAACTTACCTGGAAAATATGGAATTCTTTTTCCACCCAATTTGTAGGCAACACCAATTTTAATTTCATCAAGGACATCGAGAATATCCAGTTTTGTTAATGCCAAACTGCACAGAAAAACATCAGTTAAAATTACACATATAATGAATCTCCTCTTCAACACTTTCCACCTTTTTTTTTTTCCCCTTTCCGAAGTCCAGCTCAGGCAGCCCAGCCAGCAGAAATACATAAATGCATTAAACTATGAACACTGTTAATTGAATTCATGCCTCTGGAATGAATACATGACTGAGTTACTACAACACATTTCCCAACTCTTGGCTGCTCACACAGGTGCACAGTGTTCAGCTCAGTGCATGAAAATGCACACCAGGTGAAGTGGCACTTGGGGGTCCTGGTTTGGGAGGGGTACAGCACTTGACATCATTGATGGCGACTTTTTAGTACTCCTACTGATTCACAACAATTCTATGACAGATTTATTTACTAAGTTACACTTTTATAACAGAGTAAGCATGGTCTGGTTACTAAAACCACGTCTGCAGTTCAGTAGGAAGGATCCCAGCCTGACTTTCAGTGCCCGAGCTGTGCTGTCAGTTTAATGAACCTTTTTCATCTTGTGAATGAACCAATTGGTACACAAAAATGGAACCTTGAGAAGACACTGTAGTATTCACTGATCAGAATAAAACTGCATTTTAGCACTAGTCAAATTCTCCAGAAACAATATCCTAGACCTTGCTTGGTAAAAATCTGAGTAGTTAAGGATTTAGAGACAGGTATGTGCATAATAGTCCATGCTGTATGTGCTCAGTAAGTATGTGATGAATTCAAAGATTAAAGGAAAAGACTTTCTGGGAAAGAAGCACCTACAGACAGTTCTTCAACTTTTTAAATGTTTTTATCTGCCCATGTTTTTTCACTGTCACAGCTATCAGAGATGACATAGTTTTATTGATAGGAGGGCAGTAATTGTATAGAACTGAAATAAAAGGCAACTTAATGACTTCTTAAAGCTATTTCCACATAGAGATGCTTAAGTTAAAGCAAAATATACATCCAAGTAAAAAAAATACCAAACCAAAACCTAAAAACCCTTCTGATAAATTAATGAACAAGACCATTGTTCCTTTGCAATATTAGTAGTAGCATAAACAACATTAAATTGTCTTGGTTTATAATACATTAAAATTCCCAGAGTCATGTATTTGCATATATGAACAAGTTTGCCTGAATGCATCAGTAAGTCTACACTTCATATGAACAAAACTGTTATGAAACTTTTGCAACTTTTTCTGAAGATACAGATTGGTAGCTAGTTACAAATTAATGGCTTGTGATAGCTACTAGTATTTTAGCACTAGGCACAAGCTAGCTTGAGGGCATTATGGTCATGAACAGCTCCTTTAAACATCCACTTTTCCTGTAAAATGCCAATTTTGTATGTATTTTGAATTATAAAATATTTTATCAACCAAGTAAGTCACTTCATCCCAATGAAAAAAAAAGTCAGCCCATTAAAAGCAGAATTTATAATGCAACATTTGTAAATAAATGAACTTGGAATGAAAACTGTGCCAGCCACTGTATACTTTGGGTCATCCCATTTATTTCACTTATAGAGGCAGTAGTTCCAAATGATGCAGAATTGGTCCTACAAGTAGGATCCACTAGAGGCAACCAAAGCTCAAACCCAGCACAAGACAGTATGAAAGCACTGGATCAAGAACACTAGAGCAAACTGTTAGAAAACCGATACATTGATCCAACCTACACTGGCCATCTGAGGTAAGCAAAGTGAAAACATACACCAAAAAAATCACTGCTATGATGTCATGAAGTTGCTTAATTAAAAAAAAAAAGGGAATTAGATTATATTATTAGCATTAAGACAATTCTCAGTTGCCCACTGTGAATTAATGTATTGCTTAAAATGTAACACTTTACTGGACTTATATTAATGTTACCTACATATTTATTCTGCGAAGCACAAAATTATCACTTCCAAATGTAGCGCAAAATCTTTGATGCTTACGCAGTGAATCCGTTGATCATATGAGCATATTTCAAAATGACAAGATCTAACCAGCCACAGCGTCTCTTTCTGCCTGTAGTTACTCCCCACTCGTGGCCACGGGACTGTAAAAGATCTCCAATTTCCTAAAATAAGACAGAAAGAATGCTGATGGTATCTCACTGAAAAACCGCATGAACAGCAAGAAAAATATGTTCAATTTCAAGACTTTTCTTTTTAAGCAAAAATGAAAAAAAAAGTTAAGTTTTACTAGGATGGGACTAAGGCAGAGAACAAAGTCCCTCATGAACAGGATTTTTGTATTGCAATCATTAGCATTTCAAACCACTTATTTAATATGACTATTTCATGTTCCAAGGAGACACTTTTCTTCCTTCTTCATCTAAAAGGAAGATTTCCTTGGCAATTCAGCCATCTTTAAAATTGTGTTTGCTTCATCTGGTCTTTTGGCATCTATTGTTTTTACAGACAAGACTGTAAATGCTTGGGACAAGACCAATGCTTGTACAATATCTAGGTAGACTCCATGTCCATGTCAAGTAATCCCTGGTTTTACCACAGTATGAAACTGTTCCTTTTGGACTGGCAGTGTCTATAATGGGCTAAAAATGAAGAAGGAAGAAACTTCATGTTCATTATCCATAAACCTAAAGGATACCACTAACTCATTTGAGTTATTAGAGAAAGGATTTTAGTGACTAAATCCTTAAATTAGATTCAGAACACTGACCTAGAGATTGCCATGTGCATAGCTCATAATCAATACCTAAGTTTTCTAGTTTCTTGATAATGAAAATACAGTAGACAGTTTAAAAGAATCAAAATCTCTCTCCTTCTTTTTATTGATCAATTTGTGCATGACTGGCTGATGCACATGCCACATTTACTCCATAAATCACACAGAACACAGGCTGTTAAGCTCAGAAGTTTTATCTTGTAATTTACACTCTCCTTTGACGCACTGACAGTTCCAGTCTACAACACACTCTTGCCACTGAAATACACCTAAAGATCTTATATAAGACGATGAAATCTGTTTTCACATAATTCACTACAACAGAAGCATGGTCCCTGCAATATAACATCATCAAACTGATGAAAAATACCTTAAGTCTGTAATGTGATTCTCCTCTTCACGAGCGAGATTGCTCGGCATTATTATTACAGCGCTTATTTATTCCTGGTATACCCTTATCCCATTCCATCGACTGCTATTTGTTGGCAACTGTATACATCACATTTTGTAACGTTAAACCTACATTAATCTGCTCGGTGGGGAAGGCTCCAATTCCCACACGAGTGGTGTAGGCCTTCACCACTCCATACACATCACCCACGTGCTGGGGAGGGACACCAAGCCCGGTGCACACACCGCCCACGGTGCAGTTCGATGAGGTCACGAAGGGATACGTGCCTGTCAAAACACAACAGCACAACCCTCCTTCAGCAATGGTAAGAAACAAAGACTGTTTCTCCTTTATCACTTCAAAGGATATTTTCACCTCTATGTTTGGCTTTAAAGCTAAACTGAAACAGCAGCCAAAGAGCAGGGAAATTCTTCTTGCTACATGTCATTCATTCTTGGTAACTTTCACTGAGAATGGCCCACAAGGGAGAAGCTGAAAAGCATCTTAATACTACATCCATTAGGCATGGGATCTATTATAAGATGCTGCTGCTGTGTAAAGCTTTTTTTCAATGTCTTGTGTATCACAGAAAGTATTTCCACTACATCCATGGAGAGCCTGGTGTAAAGGTCACTGTCTGACATTCCAAATGCTCTACACAAGTGGCTCTGAGTATCTGCCACAAATTGTCTAAGTCTTAAGAGGTTACTCATAATCTCTACACTGTGACTCCGGATTGGAGAATCTCTCAGTTCTTCATTTCATTTTCATTGAGAACTAGGTTGTTTAATTAGACTTTTGGTAAGAAAGCAGAGCAGAGACAAACTGAAGCAGCAAGACTTACAGGTTACTGCATGAGTTTAATCCTCCCTCCACTGCAGAGGAATTATCTCAGCAGCACTGCAACGAGTGCCTGGATTGTCTGGAAATGTGTACACTCATATTTAAAAGTAATAAAGACAAGAATGTCTGGGGTGAAATTTCAACTCCACTGGAATAAACTTCACAAAAAATCAATTTTTAAACCCTAAGCATTTAATCCTGTTAATGATACAATTCCTGTCTTATTTGTGCTTTACTTCAGGGAGATCTGTTCCTATTAAGGAAAGACTATTTTGTTTCCCTATTTTCCTGCTGTTTGCCAAGTGAATATAAACTGAAATCAAAATAAAACTAATCAAAATAAAACTGATCTCTTAGGAGTTAAACTGAGTTTAGAATATAACTTACCAAAGTCAATATCAAGTAATGCTGCATTGGCTCCTTCAACAAGGATCTTCTTTGGAGAGCCATGAAGAGCTTCATACATAAAATACACACCATCTCGAACCATGGGTCTTATTTTTTCAGCATATCCCTGCAAATTGAGAACAAATGTCAGCTTCCCCAGACAATGGCTGGAAGCAGGGAACACTCTGTTCACTTTTGAAGGACGAAACATACAGATAATTCTAAGCTTCCAGCCTCAATAACTGTGTTTTCCTGAAAAATACAACCACTAGCTTATAATCTATTGAAAACAAATCAATCTATTGAACCACATAAGAACACATGACCTATTATGGCATTAGAATGCCATAATTTCTGTATAATTTCTGTTCACAGAGGTGTGGTATACTTATCAAATTTTGTTGCTGTAGTCTCTAGATAGTGTGTTGATAGTCTAGACACACTGAGAACGGGACATAGAAATAGTGCAAGCACCAGAAGAAAAAAAAACCACTCCTTTTGCATATTAAAAATATCTTTAGGGTGTCAGCTCTGAACAAGTGTGAGACAAAACTTGGGAAAGGTAAGAGATATTTTTAGCATCCTCTTTTCTCACATATTCATGAAAGAAGCTGTTTTATCAGTGTCTCTTCTGAACTTATTTATAAAAAGACAATATTCTTGTAATACCAGGATCCTGAAAAACGTTTCCACGAACGTTTCTTCAGTAATCATGGAAGTCCATCAGAGAGACTGGAGAACACTAACTGAAATTCTCACCCTGCATTCTCTTGACTACTTTAATACAACAGTCATTTTAAACAACATTCAAAAAAGTAAAATATTACAGGAGAATTAAATCATCCACAAAGTTTAAATTAATACCTACAATAAGAGAAAACATTCTATTACAAAGCATAGTTACTGCTTATTAAAGCTTTTATAACAATGAACACATGCATTTTTCATATAAATTAGTTAATTAGTTCAATCAGTGGTAGTTCTAGTACACTTTGGTTGTATTTTTTAAATGAAAATAAATATTACAAGTGTTAAATCCTTACCTTTAGCTTTTTCAGTTGTCCTTCTGTATCTATTTCCAATGAGGGAAACATTGACTTGTATTGCTGTGCCAGATTTTTAAATCTGAAAAATATTGAAATTGTATCTCTGAGGAACATAGTCACTGTTCACAGAACCCTTGGCAAGAAATCAGTTTATATTATTTGCAGCATATACTGAGAGCTACAGGCAGAAAATACCCAGGACTTTGATTTCTCAACCAGTGCATTTCCCAATGTACAAAATTACATTTTAAATTATGAGAAAATCTGTGAAGTACATGAAATACACACACACACACACACACATTCTTTCCAGTTTTCTTCTCCTTCTAGACAATTTATATACAAAATTCAGACATATATTTAAAAACATCCCCTTAAAAGCAAATCTGTCAGCCAAAATATATCACTCTTTAACATAATATTTAGAAATGAAAATGGTTGTACCTTGAAGAAAATTCATCAAAGTCAGAAAGGAGGTCACAAATCCGAAGGCCTGTTCGTGCAGCTTTGGAAGAATATGTTGGTCCAATCCCCTTCTTCGTTGTGCCAATACTAAGTGGAAATAACACCCACCCCAACATGTATAAATATATGCAAAAATACACTTTATGCCAAGTAATTTTGTTAAAGCTCTTCACTATATCACATATTGGGAAGGAGGTCTGAGACATAAAAAGATATTAAAGTTCTATAATACCAAATATATACCAACTTTCAGGCTTTGCATAAATATTGCTAATATTTGTGGTATGCAGTAAAGCATGAAGCCTTGAGTCTGGCTGACAGTTTGTTAGTTTGTTCACTAACATAAGAGAAGCAGAACTGAGTCACAGAATTAGTAATATCAACAAGACTCTTTAGAGATACATTGTACTTCTGTTTTCCAAAATTACACCATTTTTTTCAAATTTGCATAACTATTAATGAAATGAGGGAGTTGAAAATATTTACTTTTTGCCTTCTTGTGCTTGACGCTGCACTTCCTGGAGCCCATCTACTGCCTGGTGAAAGTCAAACACTGCAATGGAAAATCAAATGGATTTAGTGGAAGACCAAAGGAGAAAAACATTCTTTACATCACAGACATCCACAATTTCAAGACAAAGTGCCTTTACTGTCACTGACAGTGCACAGGCCTCCTCAAGAGAAAACAGAGTGAGTATTCCTTAAAGGTTGTGAAAACATGTAAAACATCCCTCTTCAGTGGATACAAATTCCATTATTATCCTTCAGATACACAACATACAAAGAAGCTGTGTTAGATCAAATACATCACTGCTCTGTGGGATAAGTTTAGCATCATGAGCTAAGCAATCATGTGCAAGGTTTTTTTCCCCCTTCAATCGTCGCTTACCTATATGTGCTCTATCTGATATAATCAGTCTTTTCTCCCAATCTTTTAAACCTGTCAGAAGATATAAAGAAAGGTAGGATTTCAGCTGTGCTGATTGGTCCAACTTTGACATTGACTTTCAGTTTTTCTATGCTTTTCTTCAAGTTTATATAACTTCTTGTTAAGAAGACTCCAGACAAAATGGATAAACCATAAGCAAACACCAAATATAGCAATGTTTCTGTTAACAAACTTTTCTCATTTTTAACTTATCACCTTTCTCATTTTGGCATGGAAAAAGATACTCACTTCTTAATGCCATAATGCTGTGGCTTACACACAATTCTTACTTCAAGGAAATCTTGTTTAACTCGCTATACAATACATCACTTAAACTCCATTTGTGCCTCAGAAAATAGAGGATTTCTATATAGAAACATGAAACAATCTAGGAAGTAAGGGACCTTGGAAGGTCATAGGGTCCAAAGCCTCACTCAAAGCAGAATCAACTGAGTTTATATTTGGGCACAGAAACTCTGGGTTAAATCATCTCATTTTGAGGTCAAAGGGAGCTTACCACACACTTTAGGATTTATTTTCCATCTAATGTGGTATCAAACGCCATAAAACTCCCCAAAACACATGAAAAGACTGATTTTGAAAATACGTCTGAAGACTACAACACAATTAAACATTTTAAATACCGTTTTTAAAATCCAGACTGTTATTGCACCGAGTACTTATGGCCAGAAACAACAGCTTACAAAAACCCTCAACCTGGCTGCTGATATAAAGGTAGGTTAAAAATTACTTGATACAAACCTTTCTTTTCATTCTTTTCAGCTTCTTCAAACAGGCCTGGTAAATGTATAACCACTCCATTACCTTTGGGAACATAAATGACTTATTTTAAAGCAAGGAATAAAATACTCGCTCTTAGGAAGTAAGGCATTGTAAACACTTGCTGTCTAAAGTTTTATTTAAAAAGCAAAACTAAATTTCTCACAAAGTGGTCTTGAGAACTTTTTGGACAAATCTTGATTTCGGGAAAGCAGCTACCAGCCTGCTAAAATCAGGAAAACCAGAGCTGGCTTGTTTCAGGCGTGAACGCCAGGCTGCTGCACAGCCAGCTGAGGTAAGCAGATTCTTGTCTTTGTTTGTGGTGGACTTTGCCCCACGACTTCAGCCTCAATTGTTCACAGGGAGAAGCTCAAAGAAGTCCGTGGCCTTACCACACTGACAAGCCTGCGTGAAAATACATAAATTTTCTTCAATACTCAGGTATTTGTTTTAAACTCAGCTCGAACTTGTGCTGTAATGCATTAGCAATGCTTCCCTCCTGCTTTTGAGTACAACATAGAATCCACAAGCAATACAGGGCAGTGCTGGCGAGACGTGGAGGATTAGTGATGCAGTGGGCTGGAAACAGCTGCTGCCTTCTTGGGAACATCAGAAATATATGCAAGAGCCTGTCTCAGCCTAAATTTAGCAAAACTGAAGTAACAGTCATTACTAATTGACAAGGGAGTAAATCAGAAAGCAAGATAACACAGCATATTTAGCTGAGAGGAAAAATATGTTTAATATATTTCAATCATTTATTTGGAAATTATCAAATGGAAAAAAACTGAAAGTCCATGACTCACTAAAATTAGACTCATTTCTTGCACAGACTGTACACAATTTCTGTCAGAAAGAATCATAAGTTTGGGCCTTAAATTTGCCTATCATTTAAATATGAGTTTAATGTCCAGTAGGCAATGCAAACCTTTTTATGATGCCATCTGCACCGAATATCTTTATAGCAAAATACAACAGCACCCTAAACAGCTGGTGACGTGAACAAAAAGGAGACTGGATGACAACCTTCCAAGCAGAGTCTGGTATTTCGGGGCCTGCTTCTGAAAAGTCAGTAAAGAGATGTCAGAGATAAATTACACTATTTATTTAGCCTAAGTACTGGGGTTTGTGTCCTCAAAGAATAGCACACAGATTTCTGAAAGTATAAAAGGAGTGTACAACTGGAATCCAAACTTGCACCATAAGGTATAAGAAGGAGTAAAATGACAGGAAGAGGGTGTTCTTGCTGTCAGCTTTCTAAAAGCATAAACTAAATTGACATTAAAAGTAGAGTAATTCTTCATGTTAAAGCAGCAGTGGAATAGAAGTCATACAGCTGAAGCAAATCTGACTGTCACTTATATGATTTTCTTTACTTGTTACTAAAAAATACAGTTGCAGCTATCCACTATACAATGTTATTTTATATAATAAATTGCATAATTGTCTTACCAATAAAAGAAATTGCCTTTGGATTAATGATGCCACTAGGAAATAGGTGAAAATCATATTCTTTCCCATCAACAACGACAGTATGGCCTGCGTTGTTCCCACCCTGCAACAGAAGAAATACCTGAAGATTAACTGTCTTGTATCATCATCTGAAACTCTCAATAGATGATTTGACAAGACCATCTTTTTTTATTTTTACATGTCTTTGGTCACTGCTTTCTCCACCTTGTAGTTTCTTGTGAAAAGGTCTCAGATAGGACAATGAGGAGGCTGAAGGATTTCAGCAAGACTGTGTAGAATTATGAAGCAGAACAATACCATGGAGTCAAGGCAGGGCTGGGGCAGAGCAGGAGTAAATGCAGGAGTGGTGGCAGAAGCTAGAAGAGAACTGAAGCTTTCTGGGAACAAAACTGGAATTAATTACCACCCTTGGAGTCTTGTCTATGACATGCCTGCACAAGCCCATCCTTTTTAGGCATTTTCTGTACATGGTCATTTCCTTGGGTTTAAGCTTACAATGCCCAGTGCTTCCTTTTGAATGGAAGCTCTTCCTGCTGCCCACCTACAAACAGCTACTGCTTCTCTTGGTGTTCAAGACAGAAGGTCTTTTTAAAGGCAGGAGCATGTGTAGTCTTGGCAGCTTCACTGAACGTCCTTGTCAATCATAGAATATCCCGAGTTGGAAGGGACCCACGAGGATCATCAAGGTCCAACTCCTGGCTCGGCACGGGACCACCCAAGAAATGGTCAAGGGATGATCTTCCCAGTTGTCACCACCACCACTTTATAGAGTTTGCTACAATCCATGACTTACATGACTATCTACCAGGATTTAGAATAGGAGCTGGTATTTTCCTCAATAAACTGCTTTTTCACAAACGGTTTTAAAAGAGAGTGATGTAACAGCACACAAACTTGGAAAGAGGTGAGTAAATCAAGGTCATGAGTTGATTTGACCAGCAACTTAAAGAGTTTTAAAAATTAAAGGTCCAGTTTTCTCAGCAGGCTTAATGTTTGTTGCCGTTCTGTCTTGATATAACTTAATCTCCTACTGATAATGTTGGGAAATCCGACTACTTGTCTGCTCTGGTGCTACAGGCCTTCAGCTTTCCAAAACAATTACAAATCTTTGTGGATTTGAAGTGATGTCTGAATGATGTAAAACTGTCTAGAATGAGGGCATCTGCTGGGAGGAGAACTGAGACTGTCATTGGTAATTTGCAGACAATGAAGAGTGTTGGCTGAATGAGTGCAGTTATACGAAAATTCTGAGAAAGGACAGTCATTTATAAAAATGAATACTATAACATGTTATCCCAGAGTTTCATTTACCCTTCATTTACTGATTTGCCCGTTTGTTTGTATGTAAAGCACAGGAAAATGGCAACTGGCAATCCTTTCAAAATGTGGATAAATACTGAAACACAAAAATAAGAAAAGAAAAGCTATGGCTTACAAAAAAAAGAATTTTTTTTTTTAGCAGTGTGTTAGAGGAAAACTAGGAAATATGTCTTCAAATATGACAAAACTAAATTTCACGCTTTAGAAGATGTGAGCTCAACAATGAATTTTAAACTGATAACCTGCTAAGGGAGAGCTGAGTAGGAGTTATAACAGAAAAAGTAGTGCACATACAAATTTCATTTAATTTAAAAACTTCTGGGTAAGTCATCCTTGGGATGGGAAGGATTCCCAAGTATCTTGCTAACACAGAATTATAACTTGTCCAGAGAATCCTGAAGGAAGTTGAACCACCCTGGGTATTTTGTTTGCCTCCCAGATATAATAAAGCAGTTGTAGGAACCTGGATCTAGTTAAGAGTATTAAACTACCTTAAAGGTTAATAAATCAGGTAGGAGAGTCCTTTACATGGTATTTAAGAGGTCTGACACAGGATGGATTGAGCTGGTTGAAACACTGGTTTATTTTGTTATACTGGTATCAGGCTGAGAAAGAGGCTAGAACTTCTGCTGTGACTCCCAGTGTTCCCTTTCTGCTCACCCACTGATGACGGCAAGATGGAAATTTTAAAAGAATTATTCCCTCATTTAACATTTATTTAATTTCTACAACAAACAACAATTTTCATGTTTCCTCAGAAAATGGGGAACCAGGCTGCTTCACACTAACACTATACTTACACTCTACTTAATCAACATGAATACGAACAAATGAAGTCAGGCTTGAAGACTCACATTCTGAGATAACAGCACTCCTAAATTATAGTCAAAGGTGTTTGCTCGTTTCCTGAAACTTCAGAAGTTGGGATACACCAGTATGAGAATATTTACGAAAGACGGTTTATGCTTTTGGAAAATTTGCTGAACAACTGATACCCAGACAAACGGTGTCTCTTTCTTTAGCAAATGCTCAAAAGGGACTTTAATCAAGCAGCTGTGAAAGCTGGCATACATAAAAAAATTCTGAAGCACAGAAACACCAGCAGATCTGATACATCCTTCAATGCCCAAAATATCTGAATACACTTTCAGTCTCTCTGTATAGATAACATGAATCAAGAATTCAGTGACAGACCTTATAAAACAGCATTTTTCTGAATTAAAGCTAGTATTGACAGCTCTGGTACTGCTTTTTGCAGTGCTCATGCTGGTCTGCGTTTTCTGAACAAGTGTCTTCCAAGCATATTCTTACAGCTCAGTTAATTACATTTTTATAAATACAATTAAAAGTGGTAGCAGAGCATTGAATTGCCCAACAGACATGACCACACCTGCAAAATGTAACACTGGTCTGATGAGGTATTTTCTTTTTATTATCTGGTCATCTCAGTAGTTTCTCATGTTCAGTTACACAGCTACTCTAACAGCATATGGGCAGTCTAATAGCTCAGATATTGAAGACATTTACTAAAGTTTTTTTACTCAAGTTCTGAGAGTCAATATAGGGCCTCTATGAGCCATTGCTTGAAATATAAGGGAACCGAAAAGCTTGTACAGGCTTAATTTGAAGATTATATGTTTAAAAGCACAGAAAACCTCCTGGTACACCACAACTGTGTAAGCTCCCTTCTTTCCCTCAAATGGTATTTCAATAAAGTGCTGTGAACACTAAAGCAGCAAGTGACAGTGTTCTCTGGACCCTCAGGATGCTTCCTGTTGGACCAAGAAACTTTTGGTGCCTCTGCTTGGCCCTTGCTTCAAACACATTTCTGCATAATGAGCTTCCATTTAATATCCAGACTCTGGCATGCACCACTGAGCCCACCTGAAGTTTATTTATCTTTTACTGTTTGCAATTTCCCAGGTCACTAGAGATGATATCTGCCTTCTTCCGCAGTTCTTCAAACACATCTCTAACAAAGGGAATGGTAAGGCAACAACTCCTGACAGATTAATCACCAGTGTCACTCTGGCATGATCTGCATTGTGAAATGATGGTATGACCAGAAATAACAATTAGCATTCACCTCCAAAGTCTTGGAAGCCTGGGGACCCCATTAAACTACTCTGGTGTGGGAATTTCTGTTCTCAAGAAGGCACCAAAAGGCTCAGAGTGCCAACTGGGATGACAGCAGTGACTTGAACATTAGCAACCCCTTCAATCCAAAACCTTCTTTACTGGTCCTGCAGTGATTCCAACATGATCAGCAGCACTTGTATATCTTCTGTTCAGCCAGTTTAATCTCTAGTGACTCAATTAAGACTGTGCCACATGCAGGAAACCCTCCAGGTGCAGGTGACTGGGGCTATCGATTACAGCAAACTGCAGCAGTGAAGCGGGACTTGAGAAATGGGAAGTATTACACGCACCACAGGCAACGGGATAGAGATTACTACTATAGTAATAAAGAGACCTATATATGATTTCAGAAGCTCGTCTCAAGAGAGCACACAAAAGCACATCCTTTGAGGCACTACCTAAATGCAGTAATGATTTTTGACTGTGCAGCCACAGCTGGTGTTCTTCATATCAGCTACATTCAAGTTTCAGAGCACACAAATGCTTGTTTCTGGCTGTATTTGGTAGGTGTTAAAGTTGTTCCCATTTAAATCAGGCACTTAAGTAAAAAATAATTACTTCATTGAAGTAATTCATAGCTTTATTGGCTTTGCATGGTGAGGTTTTACTAGTGGGGTGGGGGCAGGGGCCACAGGGGTGGCTTCTGTGAGAAGATGTTGGAAGCTTCCACCATGTCCAATAAAGCCAATGTCAGCTGGCTCCAAGAGTCACCCACCGCTGGCCAAGACCAAACCCAGCAGCAACTGGGATGGTGCCTCTGGGATAATGCACTTAAGAAGGGGAAAAAAACCTACCAAAAAAACCAAAACAAAACCCAGCAACTACAACCAGAGAGAGAAGCAAGAATGTGAGAGAGAAACAGCTCTGCAGACTCCAAGGTCAGTGCAGAAGGAGGGGAGAAGGTGCTCCAGGTGCTGGAGCAGAGATTCCTCCACAGCCTGTGGTACTGATCCTGGTGAGGCAGCTGTGCCCCTGGAGCCCATGGAGGAGCAGAGATCCACCTGTAGACATTGGCCAGACGAGCAGGATGCCCAAAGGAGTCTATGACACCATGGGAAGTCCATGACAGGGCAGACTCCTGGCAGGAACCTGCAGACCCATGGAGAAGAGAGTTTGCCAGCAGGGGACCCCCACTGGAGCAGCCTGTTCCTGAAGGACTGCAACCCATGGAACTGACCAATGCTGGAGCAGTTAATGAAGAACTGCAGCCCTTGGGAAAGGCTCATGTTGGAAAAGTTCATGGAGGACTGCCTCCTGTGGGAGGGACCTCCCACCGGAACAGGAAAAGAGTGTGAGGAGTCATCCCTTGGGGAGGAAGGAGCAGCAGAGACAATGTGTGATAAACTGAACACAGCCCCCGACCCCTGTCCCCCAGGCCACTCGGGGGAAAGATAATTTGGGAGAGAAGTTGAGCCTGGGAAAAAGGGAGGGGTCGGGGGAAGGTCTTTTTAAGACTTGGTTTTATTTCTCACTATCCTACTCTGGTAATAAGCTGAGTTTTCCCCTACCCCAGTCTGTTCTGTCCATGACTGTAAGTGGTGAGTGATCTCTCTCTGTCCTTGTCCCAACATGCCTTTTGTTATATTTTCTCTCCCCTGCCCATCTGCGGACAGGAGTGACAGA